CTCTGGGTGCGAGCTTCAAGTGCTATCGCTCTTCCCTCTGCTTGGTGTGGGGTCTCTGGGTTGCCACTTCTGGAAAACAGGCGCAACGGGTCGCCCCGATTATCATCTACTTTAACTTACACCCCTCTGGGGTGAAAGCCTCGGTTTCAGGTTATTCTGTGCAACTGGGGCTTTGGTGGGGAGGGGTAAGGGAGAAGGAACAACTACTGGTCACCACGTCTGGTCCCTCCAGGCCTTTTACTTGTCTTGGGCCCTAATATGTCAGGGTGTGTTGACTTGTCCCAATAGCATCCTAGTTGTCACCATCAGAGTCTAGAGGCCCAGTGTATTAAAGGAGGGGATCCTTCTTCCTGTTCTGCTTTAGTTGCCCTATTAGCCAGACTGAGTTATGCTGACATCTCCACCCCCAGTCTGCAGTTTCAGAATTGCTGTCCCCCACCCCATTCCTCCAGGACCCCCCCATGTATAGGCCTGACTTCCTTCAGCCACATTTTGAAGAAGAACTTTGGTTCTTCATTTTGTGTTCCCCATTTCACTCATGTTGTCTTCCAATCTCAAAAAATCTTAGTGCCAGACACCCTGGAAGGGAAAGATGGGGTCTCACTGTGATAAATTTTACCTTCATTTCCTCTGTAGAATAAACAATGTTCCTATTCATGCTCCCGTTCTTTTGGTGTACCCTGACATTTCTTCATCACATTCAAAAATTTTCTCTGTAGGTGGGGTGAAGATGGAGGAACACTGGACTCAAACTCTTTCTTCAGACTCCAAAACTTGGAGCTTCGAGTTTTGGCCCTGTCCCTATCTTGCAGGGAACTTGGGGCTTTAAGAAGTGAGAGGAGAGAGCTGCTTCCTTCTCTTTCTCCTGGATTCCTCCATTCTGGGGCCTTGTTCCTCAGCTACTGCACTGTCCCTCTCAGGATATGAAATGAACAACCTCTTTCAGTTTTTATGATTGTTGAACAAGGTAGTTCAGCCTTTGAAGAAAGCTATTTTGCGGGGAGGGTACCGGGGATCAAGGAGGGCTATTTTGACTGAACTCACTCCACTTTCCTACCTCTCCACTTTTTGTGGCTTTGGTATTGACACCTGCAGTTCAGGATTCTCTCTCTAAGACTGTGACCCATGCTTGATACACTCCTATTTTCTTTTTTGAAAGGTTCTTTAAACATATCAGGATGCTTAATTCTAGTTGTGTCTATCCCCTGGGTTCAGTGTCTTTATGTTGACAGGACCATTTTCCTCTTCCATTCTCTTAGTTGCCCTTAGTTAATCACGAAGTTGGGTTGCATTCTCAGCTTTGGTTCATTCTCCTCAGAATTTTCAGAATCCTACTGTAGTATCAGGCAGTTTACTTGTTAGTCTTCCTCCTGTTTTATCTTGCAACTCTTGCCCTCCCTATGTTGAGGTACTCTCAGCTTCTTAGAAACTTTTGGGAGAGAACTTCTGCTTCTTTTCCAGTGCAGCAGTGGTGTATTCTGACTTCTTCAGTTCCCGAGGGAGCTCTGCTTCTAGTAATCTCTTCATCCTTTCCTAATCCTAGTGTCTGGGCTGGTTTGGTTCTGTGGGAGACAACTCCCAAGGAGCGGGGCACAGGAGGGCAGAGATGTGGAAGGAGCCATGCAGAGTTGCTGCCATTCAATGCTGCCACCACCTGCCCTTTCTCTTTCTCTGGCCCACAGTTAATTTCATTTACTGATGTCCCTATTAAGCTAGTAGAGGAGGCCCTTGAGATGGCAACTACTTAATTGGGCAGAGAATCTAGACATGTTGGATCTTTAACCCAAAAGGCCAGAGGGAGATCAGAAATTCACTCTGAGGCTCTAGTATTATCATCTTCCCCAATCAGGGGACCTGGTGCCCATTCCTGCCCTCTCCTCAGCCCTTCTGCCTCTGTTCCTCCTGCCTCCCTCATCTCATCCACCCCTTTAATTTTTTTCTTTTTGTAGTTCTGGGGATTGAACTCAGGGCCTTGGGTTTACGAGGCAGGCAGTGGCACCACTGAGCTAAATCCCTGGACCATTCATCCATCCCTTTCTAGTATATCCAGATTAGCTGGTTGAGCTGTCTGCTAGTGCAGGGTTGGGGCTAGTTCTGGGTCCTTTTTGCTGACTACTTGAGAACTACCCAGGCCAGTGAAGGAATAGTGGAACAGGCTTAGCCTTGCCTTACCTGGGGGCGCTGATGCTAACTAAGTACCTCCTAGTTGAAAGGTCTGACTTTGATCCCTCCCTCAGGCATGCAAGGTGCTGGAGAGCCAGTAGTTCATGGGGTAGAGGCTGCAATGGGGAGACTGAGGCAATGAAGGTGGGGTGCAGAGTAACAGCACCAAGTGGAGTACAGGAAAGGGAGTCTTAGAGAAGCAGAGAAGGTAGGGTTGGGATGTGGAGGATGGGTTGTGGAGAAGGGTCAGGGACTAGAGCTCTTGAAGGATAGAGGGAGAGGAAAGTGAAAGCCTGGGAAAGGGGTGAAGACATAGATGCCAAAAGAAGGGAGGTGCTGGTATAAGGCCAGGGTCCAGGGCTGTGAGGTGTGAGAGTTGGGGGATAGGGATGGGGCTTCGGGAGAGAAGAGAGATGCTGAGGCTCTGGCAGGAGAGGGGGCTGTTGGGAGGGTGGAGAGAGGGGAGCCAATGGGCTGGAGGAGAGGGATGGGGAGGAGCTGATCAGGCCCCAGGGCCCTCCGCACGGCACAGGCTAGGGGAAGAGGAAGCAGCCGGCTGAGGCGGGCCTACTGGAGCCTGAGGCACTGGGACAGCCTAATGACACCTCGGTCCCCATACCCAGAAATACCGCTACCAAGATGAAGACACGCCCCCTCTGGAGCACAGCCCGGCCCACCTCCCCAACCAGGTAAACGCCCCCGAGCTGGTGCACGTGGCGGAGAGGAACTTGTCCCACCTCGAGGCCGTCCACGGGGTCGTGGGCCACGCCCACCTCTCCCCCCTCAAGGTAGGAGACCCTGGCGGCCCCCTCCCCAGTGCGGCCCTCGGAGCCTCGGAGCTGCAGCAACTCCAAAGGGTCTGTAGGGCAAAAGCTATGGGGGTGGGGGAGCTGGAAGGGGCATCCTGGGCTTGGGCTCCTGGGGCCTGGGGGGAGGGGACGTTTTGGGAGGGGAGTGTTGGAAACAGTTTGGTCCCACAGAGGAGAAACAGGTCAGGCAAGCGGAAGGGGATGTGTAGCCTAAAGCCCAAGCGTGCGTGTGTGTTGTGTGTGTGTGTGTGTGTGTGTGTGTGTGTGTGTGTGTGTGTGCCTGTGTTGAGATATGTGCCTTTCCCTGAAGGCCCCCCCTACCGCAGCCTTCTTCATTCTTTCACATCCCAACCTCCCCTTCCGTTTTCTGTGTCCAGAGCTCTGTTCTAAGTGCCTGCTGCTGCCCTCATTTGCTCTCCTGTCTCTTCTCTGCCTCCTCCCCTACTTCTGCCTCTGGGCTCTGCTCTTTCTGTCCCTTAGTCTCCAGCCTTTTCCATCTGTCTTGCCTGAGACTTCACGTTGGGGCCGTTCTGCCTTTTCCTCTGTCTGACCCAGCCTTTGCTCTCCTCCTGTGCTCTGCCCCCGCCCCCCCAGCCTTTCCCTCCCTGCTGGCTGGCGGGCTGGTTCTTGATGCTGTGTCTCTCTTCCTCCCACGCATCTCCTTCCCCCTCTCGCTGATCCCCAGCTCAGGCCTCTGTGGCCTGATCAGTCCTCTGTGCAGGTCAGCCAGCTCCCGTTTTCCCAGTTTCTCTCTTCTTCTTGGGCTCACCTCCACCCATATCTTCTTTCTATTCTCCCTTTCCCTGTTATTATTCACCACCACCTGTTTCCCCTTCCCCTTCTTGGTGCTCACAGTGTGCTTTCCCTTCTCCAGTCCAGTCCACTTTCCATCTTCCCCCTCAGTCTCTTCTGAGGAATGGAGAGTACCAGTCAAGCAGTGAGATTGAGTATGGGATGTCCCGGGAAGGGGGAAGTTGCTGTCATTTCAGTAATAAATAGGGAGGTCACTGAACCAAGGGAGGGGATCACAGCAGGCCCTGGGGCTCAAAGTGGCAGGGGGAGAGTTGGAGGGGGATAGGAAAGGAAAGGTCCTGGAACAGGGGACAGACAGGGATGAGGTGTGCAGTCTGGGCAGTGGATTGAGCTGGTGGTTAAGAGGAAGGAAGAGGCCCTGGAAATAGGAACAGTTTAGAGCATGCATTTGTTTGCAACTCTGAGGCTGCATTGATGAAGGAAAATTCTAGATGTCTTTGCAAGATGGGGCTGTTAAGGCCCTGGGGAGGAGGAGGACAGAGAAGGGAGGCTTGAGGGGTGATAGTTAGTACAAGCAAGGCAGTGGAGCTAGGGAATGCATGGACCAGAGATATAGAAACAGATGGGAGTGGGAGGAGACCACTGGAGGCCATCTATGATTGTGGGACCTCTCAAGACAAGGCCTCAGCTGGGAAATGAGAAGCCCCAGTTTTCAGAGGAGATGGAGTGGGTTGAGAGGTGAAGGACTGATTCGGGGATAGAATCTTGAAGGTTTGGAGATAGGGTAAGGGAGAAAGATGAGGGTCTCTCTGGGGAATCAAATTGGGAAGGAGAGTTAGAACAGGGATTGATAAGGGGTGGGGTTCCAGAGTGGGATAGGGAGAGGAAGCTGATGAAGAATGGAGGCTGGGGTTGGAGTGTGGAAATATTGAGGATGAGAATAAGGATCTAGATGGAGGGTATGGATGAGGTGGAGATAATGAGAAATGTAGTGATGAAGGATGAGGTAGAAGGAGAAGTTTTAGGATCCAGATGGTGATTGAGGGGAGGGTATGCCATGTAGGTTGAATATGTGGATGAGATTTTGGCTGTCAATGGCTGTTGGCTGGACAACAGCATTTGCTGCAATGTGGAGGGTCGGGGGTAGCATTATTAGAATTATGAGTATGAAATCTATTATAGAGGCTGAAAAGTGGCTGGTAGCTTCTAGGACAGAAATAGGAGTAGGAAGGAGGAGAGACCCCTTTGGAGGGGGAGAGCCGGAGACGGTGGAATCCTCGCCCTAGGTCTCCTCAAATAAATATTTGATAAAGAAATAGGTTGGGGACCCCGGAAGGATGTTCTTGGCCGCCACCCCAATTGCCATGGAGACGTGGCATCTGTTGCCTTGGCAACTGGGGAAGCCCCTTGGACCGGCCTAAAGCCGGCCCCGCCTGGGAGTCCGCGATACCGGGCTGCGTCAAGACGACTGACGTCACAGACCTGGGCACGCCTCACTTTAACCCTTTCCTAAATGAGCTGGGGGTGGGGGAAGAGTAGATGAGGAGGCTAAGACCCGGATGTCTTTCACCACTACCCACTCTTGACATTCTGTACATTTAGTAGGGTGAGGGGCGCTGAGAAGTAGAAGACAGCTTATTCAGGATGCGCTGTGCCCAAGAGCCTCTTCGGCCTGGCCTCCTATGGGCCGGGTTCTGGGGGAGTGGGGCATAGGGCCGGAGGGGCGGGGCTAGCAGAGCCGTTCGGCTCTCGGGAGTCCTGCTGATCCTAGGCCACCCACACCCCCGCCGCCTGTTGTCTTGACGACAGGGCCTGCAGGAGGTGGGTCTCCCAGGTCTTGGCTGGTCATGGATACCGTTGCTAGGTAACAGTCCCTGGAGGAAGGGGTAGAGTGTTTGGTGGGTGAGAGAGAAGGAGGGAGGGGCCTTCAATTGGGGAAATCCCGGATTTCCGGGCATAGGTTTCAGGGCAATGTGTGCGAAGGTGAGGGACAAATCTGGGTTAGGATTATAAAGCTATCTGGGTAAATATGGGGGGATAGGGACAGAAAGGGAGGCTGGAAAGGGGAGAGGAAGACCTGGTGGACATGAGCCCAGGGGTATATGTGTGTAGCACAGAAGGCATGTAACACCCTGTAGTGTTACATCCGGTGAGAGGCTCCCCACCAGCCTCTCCCCTCTTTACCATCTGCTGCTCCCCTCTCCGTCTGGCTGTCTCTCTCTTCTTGCTTCTCAGACACCTCCTTCTACATGCAGGGGGCCTGGGCTGGGCAGAGTAGAGTTGGATCCTTGCACGTGTGCATCTGTGCATGTGTGTCTGTGTTATGTGGACTGAGTCTGTGTCCTTGAGGAGCCCCAAGGGTGGCGAGTGGGTTTGGCTAAGCATTTGAAAAGGGAGCTAGGCTGGTGGGACCCACCCTTCGTTATGGGCTCTCTTTGGAACCAAGGCTCAGACAGCTTTTCGTCTCTCCTCTTTCTTTGCAGGCCAATTCTCCTCCTGTGATTGTCAACACAGACACCCTAGAAGCTCCAGGATATGTGAGTTGTTTAGATTTTTAGGCTGGACCATTGTAGAAGGGGAAGGAAGGGAGGGCCAGGGTCCCTGCATGGGAAGGGAGTGGCAGATTCTCACGTTGGAATGTTTATCTCACTGTTTCTGTGTTTTTGTCCCGTGCTGGAGTTACAGGTGAATGGGACTGAGGGGGAGATGGAATACGAGGAAATTACATTGGAAAGGGTGAGCCAGCTCCTCCATCCATCTTCCATCCATCCCCTTGGCTCCCTATCCGGGTCTCTCTGTGCTTGTTTTCTAGGTGGCTAGCCCCTTAACCATGTCCCTTTGTGTTCTGGCTGCCACTCTCCAAGCCTTTCCCCTCATTACTAGCCTTGCCACAACTGGGCAGTGTGGGGAACTAACCCTCTTGCCCTCCTTCTTTTCAGGGTAACTCAGGTCTGGGCTTCAGCATCGCAGGTGGAACTGACAACCCGCACATTGGTGACGACCCATCTATTTTCATCACCAAGATCATTCCTGGTGGGGCTGCAGCCCAGGATGGCCGCCTCAGGTGGGAAAAGGATGCGGGTTAGGAAGCTAGTTCCCTTTAAAGGGAGAGCCAGGGCAGCAGGAAGCTCTTGGCTTAGACCCAGCTTGCTGCTCCCAGGGTCAACGATAGCATCCTTTTTGTAAATGAAGTGGATGTGCGGGAGGTGACCCATTCAGCTGCAGTGGAGGCCCTCAAAGAGGCAGGCTCCATCGTGCGCCTCTATGTCATGCGCCGAAAGCCCCCAGCTGAGAAGGTCATGGAGATCAAGCTCATCAAGGGGCCTAAAGGTAGTAATCCGTTTTGTCCTGACTCTGTCCTAACTGTCTTGCTCCCTCCCAGGCAGCTGGGCATACCTCTGTACTTTCCTGCATTCAGGTCTTGGCTTCAGCATCGCAGGGGGTGTAGGAAACCAGCATATCCCAGGAGATAATAGCATCTATGTAACGAAGATCATTGAAGGGGGTGCCGCCCACAAGGATGGGAGGTTGCAGATTGGAGACAAGATCCTAGCGGTGAGGACCTCCAGCACTTTCCTATCTCAAACCTAGATCTCACCTACACGTTCTGGCAGGCCCAGGATTTCTACCACTTTACTCTAGTGCATCTATCTTCTTCTGTCTATTTCTTCTGTCTACTTCTTACTTTGTCTGAGCTTTGCTTCCCTTGACCCCAGGTCAACAGCGTGGGGCTGGAGGACGTCATGCATGAGGATGCTGTGGCAGCCTTGAAGAACACGTATGATGTTGTCTACCTAAAGGTGGCCAAGCCCAGCAATGCCTACCTGAGTGACAGCTATGCTCCCCCTGACATCACAACCTGTGAGAGCCCTCCAAACCCCAGCAATCCCCATTATCGCATCCCCATTACCCCCATGAAGTGCAGTGCCACAGAAGCTCCTGTGGCCACTCCTCTGCATTTTACCTCATGATATGGTTATACATTTGATCCTTTCTGTGGTTGGAAAGAGATGGGAAATCAGTCACCATAGAAGCACTAGAAAAGATTGCCAGTGACACCACTCTTTCCCTCAGGCCCTCAAGGCACAAAGTTTTATGCTAATTTGATTAAATGTTCAAGGAATAGATGATTTTAGGTGCTTTCAGAGTGTAGAAAACCAGGCCTTACGTCTCATTTTAGGAGACCAAATCAGATGTTCAAATAGGTGCTCCCTTTGGCAGTACATGTACAAATGTTCAAACGCTCACAAAGATAATACAAAAGAAGGAAACTAGAGACCATGATTACTTGTAAATAGAAATATAAATGTTTTTAGTACCATAGTAGGAACATAAACAGAGTAGCATATTAGAGAATAACATTGACAAATTAAGATTTGTTTTAGAAAACTAAAGATGGTTCAATATTAGGAAATCTTCCTGTCTCCTTTATCTTTTTTTTTTTTTTTCCTAGAACTATAGATTGAACAAAAGCAGGCTGTACCACTGAGCTACATCTTCAGTCTATTTATTTAAATGTTTAGTGGTACTGAGGATTGAACCCAGGACCTTTGCACTGAGCTGCATCCCCAGCCTTAAAATTTTTTTTTTCTTTTTTAATTTTTGAAAGAAGGTCTTGATAAGTCTCTAAGTTGCCCAAGCTGGATTTGAACTTGTGAATCCTCCTGAATCAGCCTCCCAGAGTGCTGGGATTACAAACATACTCCACTATATACCCGGATGGAAATCTATTAATATAATTCATTATACTAAAAAGTTAAGTGAGAAAAACTGTAAGATCATCTCAAGTAGATATAGGAAGGTCAGTTGATCAAATTCAACATCTATTTTTAGATGAAATTTTTAATAAACTAGGAGCAGAGTTTTCCTTAACATGATAAAGAGTAGTTATCAACATCTAACAATGAACCTTTTATAATGATAAAATCCTAGCAGTGTATCCATTAGTTTAGGATTTAGGCAAGGATGCTCCTTATCACTACTCCTATTATTCATTGCTTTTGAGCAGAGTTTCTCACTGTTGGTATTATTGATATTTTGGGATGTGATAAATCTTTGTTGTTCTTGGAATTTCCAAGATTTTATTTTGTTTTGCTATTTAGACAAGGTCTTGCTATGTAGTTCAAGTTGGCCTCAAACTTACAGTGCCCCTCCTGCCTCAGGCTCCCAAGTGCTGTGCTTACAGGTGTGTGCTATGATGCCTGCCTCCAAGAAATTTTTTTTTTTTTTTTTTTTTTTTTTTTTGTACCAGGGATCGAACTCAGGACTCTGCTTGCAAGGCAGGCAGCAGAACCACTGAGCTAAATCCCTGGCCCCTAGAATTTTATAGAAAAAATATTTTTTAGTCCTAGAGATAGGACCCAGGGCCTTACACATTAGTTAAGTGCTCTACTCTCAGCCCCTTGTAGAATATTGTAAAATAGGTATCTTTTTACCCATTTATTTTCTTTTTATTTTTTTCTTACTTCTTTATCTTATTGCTATGAATTCTTGTTATTTATCTTACACAGCTATTTTTTTTTTTTTTTTAATACTGGGAAAACAAACTCAGGACCTTGAGCTAGTCAGGCAGGTGAAACACAACTGAGCTACATCCCTGGCCTCAGAGCTATGTTCTTAATGTCTCATTTTATTTCTGAGGTTCTTAATTAATTTGCTTTTTTTGAGAACAAGGTCTTGCTGAATCACTAAATGGCCCAGGCTGGGTAGGCTTAAAACTTGTGGTCCTCCTGCTTCAGTTTCCCAGAGTCTGAGACACTATGCCTGGCCAGTTAATTCACTTAGATTTTAATCTGGATGGGCTATAGTATAATTTACAAATAAGGATAATTTACATTCTGTCTTTTCAAATATAACATTTATTTTTTATTCTTGTTTTGACTTGCTCTAAAGCAGTAATTCTCCCTCCCCCGCCCCTTTTTCTCTCTGTCTCTGTTTTTGTTGAGATAGGGTCTCATGTAGTTCAGCCTGGCCTTAAGCTCACTGTGTTCCCCAGCCTTTCAGGGCTCCTGAGTGCTGGGATTATAGACGTGCTCCACCATGCCCAGCTCTTCTTTTTGAGGCAAACTCTTATTGGTACATTTTAGATATACATAATGATAATATTCATTATAGGGAATTTGTACCTGTACGTGATATATCTTGCTTTAATAAAAGCAGTAATTCTCAACCTGGGTAATTTTGTTGGGACAATTTTGTCATAACATTTTTGATTGTTAGGACTCGAATGGGGAAGGATAGGGTAGGAAGGAATACTGTTGTCATCTAATAGAAATATAAACTTGGGCTGGGGATTTGGCTCAGTGGTTCCGCTACCTGCCTCACAATCACAAGGGCCCAAGTTGGATCCCCGGTACCCCCCCAAAAAAGAAGAAAAAAAAAAAAGAAAAGAAAAAAGAAATATAAACTTGACAAGAAATGTGAGAGTTATATGAAGAAAATGACGAAATTGTACTGAAAGACAAAACAGTATTTCTAGATGGAAAATCTTATTAAGTGAAAGATCTCAAACCTATAAATTAGCCTGTACATTTTATGCAATACTAGTGAGAATTTTAATATTGCTTTCCTCTGGGAACTTAGCAGGTTGATTCTAAAGTTCAATTGCAGAAAGTATGTGTGGGAGAATAGCTAAGACATTTTGGAAAAAAAAAATAAGATATGACTGCCCCTACTAAATACAAAGTCATACTTAAAACCATATTAAAAGCTGAGTGTGGTAGTGTACACCTGTTCCCAGCAACTTGTGAGGCTGAGGCAGGAGGCCAACATAAGCAAGTTAGTGAGACCTCATCTGAAAATAAAAAAATAAAATGGTCTATGGCTCAGTGGTAAAGCACCCCTAGGTTTGATCCCCAGCCATGCAAAGTTGAAACCAAAAAACATACTAAAATCACATAGTATTATTTGTAAATATTATAACCAACCAAAAGGAACCTGGGCTCCTTGGGAAAAGGGCTGCTTGCATATCTTGGGCAATCAATGTATAAGATGAGCTTTGATGTCTTTCATACTAGACACAAGGAAGGTATCGATGACTACTAGGGCCAAGTCAGAGACACAGGAGCCACATTCAAGAGGCTCCTGAAATTCAATCAAAACTCATTCATGTCGCGAGCCGCTTGTCAGTAAGAAAGCATGTAACACTCAGGATCTTTCTGAAGCTTCTTTATTATCTTGGGAGAAGGTCTAAAGATCTTATAAAAAACCTTCCTTTATATATCCTGCTAACTATATTAACTCGACAGAAACAAGAAGTTACAAGATCACGACTATAGCACATTCCGATCACTATCAGGGGAACAAACTTCAGGCAGGGAGCAACCATAAAAGCAATGTCGCCATCCCAGAACAAACATCTTGATCAATTTGTCGCGAGCCGCTTGCCAGCAAGAAAGCACGCAACACTCAGGATCCTTCTGAAGCTTCTTTATTATCTTGGGAGAAGGTCTAAAGCTTTTACAAAAAACCTTCCTTTATATATCCTGCTAACTATATTAACTCGACAGAAACAAGAAGTTACAAGATCACGACTATAGCACATTCCGATCACTATCAGGGGAACAAACTTCAGGCAGGGAGCAACCATAAAAGCAATGTCGCCATCCCAGAACAAACATCTTGATCAAGGATGACTTAAACAAAGAACTTCTGCAAATAAGCCACAATCCCAACACAGCTCAGCAAACAGGAGACTGAAATTCCTCACGATGACTTGGCAGCCTGCAGTGTCTGCAGACCAAAGCACTCCACACATTCAATAGCTGGTTATGGCAGTACACATCTGTAATCCCAGCACTCCAGTTTTGGGAGGCTGCAGCAGCAGGATTGCCAAGAGTTAGAGACCAGCCCAGACTATGTAGTGAGTTCAAGGCCAGCCTGAACTATGTAGTGAGACCCTGTCTCAAAAAACGAAAACAACAACAACAACAACAACAAATCTCATTCAATAGGTGAAAATTGATGAGGTGATAATAATACTTAAAAAATAATTGGAGGCTGGGTGCAGAGGTGTACCCTTGTAATACCAGCATTTGGGAGGCTAAAGCAGGAAAATTGCCAATTTGAGGCCACCCTGGGCTACATAGTGAGACTTTGTCTCAAAAACTAAAACAATGACAATCCCCAACTAAAACAATGATCAAATACATTTTGGGCTAGGAATGTATCTCAGTGGTGGAACCCTTGCCTAGGATATCTAATTCCCTGGGTTCAATCCCTAGTATTGCAAAACAAAACAAAATGAAAAAAGACAAAAAATTGGATACCTTTGGAGGATGACAGGGAACCCATTCGTTGTGAAAACCATGAATAAAGGGAGAGAGTCAAGCATCCACTTTCCCTTTCCTGTACAAATTGTACCTTGGGGTACCAAAAAGTTGATCCAGGGCAGTTCTTTATAAAAGAACTCCTACTCATAAATGTTCTCATACTCCCCTGAAAAGAAAAAAAGAGATAATATCATAATATCTTGGTCTTTGATGAATATTAGAACCAGGCAGTGATCATCAGTGGCTATAGGAATTTAAGTGAAAGGTTGAATAAACACTTTATTATTTAATTTTATTTATTTATTTTTTGTGATACTGGAAATTGAATACAAGGCTTTCACACTGAGCTACATCACTAGCCATTTTTTAATATTTATTTTTAGTTTTTTTTTATTTTGAGACAGAATATTGCTGTGTTGCTCAGTTTTCTAGGCCAGGCTCGAATTTATGATCCTCCTTCCTCAGCCTCCCAGAGTACTGGGATTACAACTATGTGCCACTATGCCTGACTAAAAAGATTTTTTAAAAAAAAAGTGATTTATTTTCTTTTTTGGTTCTCCCAAATACACTAAAACCAATGTATAGTTTTCTTTTTTTTGGTGGGGGGTACCAGGGGTAGAACTCAGGACCTTGCACTTGCAAAGCAGGCGTGGTGCCACTGAGCTAAATCCCCAGCGTACTTTTCATTTTATTTGAAATTATCTTAGTGTTTAAACATGTAGGATGATATCAACTTACTGATTGGTATTCTATTACATAACATTTTATAAAGGATTAACAAGTCTGATGACATATTTAACAGAAAACCACGTATTCAATCTTGGTGACTCAGTAGGAAGTACAAAGAGCCATCTTGAAGTATACTTGCACAATGAATTTGAATCTCTAGAACAAATCTCCAATTTATAGGAAAAACATGGGTAGAGGCACAAGTTAAACAGGACCACAGAGATGGAAGCAGGAATTTCTTTGTTAGAATTTTCCTCCTAGAGTGTGGGTACATCTATCGGACAAATGACCTAGTTTTTCAACAAATGAATGGCCAAGAGAAAAAATTTTTGTGGGTTAAGAGATTTGAGAGACACAGAAAAATCCCAAAAGCATGTTCTTAATATTCCTGTTTGACTTCACTACCCCTGGCATACTGAGGTCATATAATCTTCAGATCCTTTATCCCTTGAGAGAACCATTTTTTTTTTTTTTTGGTACTGGGGATCGAACTCGGGACCTTGAACTTGGAGAACCATTCTTTGATGTCATTTATAAATCCTGGCCCTCACATTGCTGATCTAAAGGTCCCCTTTACTGCCCTGCTGAGGGTAGATAACTTCCTTTTCTCCCAAGTCTGCCTCTCTTGGTTCCCTCTAGAGCGGGTGGACTGGTGGGTGCTGTTGTCCTTGCATTGCTGTTTCATCCTTCCTCCTGTATCTTCCCTCAGCATATTCCCAGCACCTGGACAACGAGATCAGTCACAGCAGCTACCTTGGCACTGATTACCCCACAGCCATGACCCCCACTTCCCCTCGGCGATACTCCCCAGTGGCCAAGGATCTGCTGGGGGAGGAAGACATTCCCCGAGAACCGAGGCGAATTGTGATCCACCGGGGCTCCACGGGCCTAGGCTTCAACATTGTGGGTGGCGAGGATGGTGAAGGCATCTTCATCTCCTTCATTCTGGCTGGGGGCCCTGCGGACCTCAGTGGGGAGCTGCGGAAAGGGGACCAGATCTTGTCGGTGAGGGAAGGCCTAACCCTGGCTGCACTGCCCCTGTCCCCCAGGGCAGAGCCTGGAGCTCTTGGGAATGGGCTGGGTGACTGAAGCCTGGTCCTCCTGCTGGACTACTCCCTCTTCCACTCGGACCCAGGATGTGCTGCCTCCCTTTCTGTGGCTACTCAGCTTCTTCTTCCCTCTCTAGGTCAATGGTGTTGACCTCCGTAATGCCAGCCATGAGCAGGCTGCCATTGCCCTGAAGAATGCGGGTCAGACGGTCACCATCATCGCTCAGTATAAACCAGAAGGTACCGGGCCCGAGGCGTCCTGTCTTGTGGCTAAGATGGTCCTCAGAGGCCAGGCTAATGGTACAGTCCTGTGAGCCCAATCTGGGCAAGACCCTGTCTCAAAAACAGAAAAAGAGAGGTTGTAGTTCATCCCTTGATTCAATTCCTGCTATGGAAAAGAAAAAAAAAAAAAAGATTGTCCTCAGAACTCTGTCTTCTCAGCTATGGCTTTAGTGGGGTGGAAGGGATGACAGTAGAATTCGGCAGAGTTCAGAAACCTTGTTCTTCCTTAGAGTACAGCCGATTCGAGGCGAAGATCCATGATCTTCGGGAACAGCTTATGAATAGCAGCCTGGGCTCAGGGACTGCCTCCCTGCGGAGCAACCCCAAAAGGGGTTTCTACATCAGGTCAGAGGCTTCCCGCGCTGGGCCCCTTATCCCCCATTGAATTCCTCTTTCCCATGCCTGTCCCCTGTTCCTCAGTCAGCTCTTTCCCTAAACCCTGCATGATTCGCACTTCCCCACCCAGACCCAGTGTTTAGCTGGTGTTCACAGGCTCAGCTGCACAGGTGAACTATCTGAATACTCCTTTTGGATTGGAAGATAGCTCTGCCCTCTCTCCCTGTTGCCTCCTAGACCTGATTACCTTGGCACTCCCTCAAGGTCTCCCACATTACTTCACAGTTGGCCACCTAAAGGATCTATGCAGGGCCTATAGGATTTCCCTTGTTTTTTTTTTTTTTTTTTTTTTTTTTTTTTTT